ATCACAGGTACCCTCAAATTCTGTCCTTTTCAATAGTCACATTAATAGTAATTAATCATAACAAAAAATAAGTAGGTTAGAGCAATATTTGCCAGTTTCTTACATACTCACCATTAAACCTGTGTTGGAAGGATACTTACCACATTGGTGGTATTTGGTGAGGCCCCGTGATGCATTAGCTGCGACACGATATTTACATGCCCCATGAAGGCAGCAACATGGATTGGAGTAAGGCCCGACTGCCGGGGTGGGGGGAAGAGGGAAGGTGATTTGTGAGCTTATGATAAGAAGGGTCTGTCTGCCCGCCTGCCCTCCATTCCTCTCTCCTACGCTTTTCCTCTCCTCCCTCTCTCCATTTATTTTAACATAACTGTTGAGTGAACACATCAGGCAACCACTTACCACTGTCACAGATGCTATAGGCAAAATGTATCAATACATAATAATCATTTGCCTAAAGCAAGTTTTGCAATTATGAAAGGCTTATGTCATACCAATTAAAGATTTATCTCATACATTTTATATAGACCCATAAAAAAAATTTAGAGAGAAATAACTTGAAGGTCTCTTTTTTTCACTTTGCTACTAAGCCTTCCTTATCTATATGACTGTGTGTGTGTATGTGTGTGTGTGTGTGTGTGTTGTTCTGGGACATGTGATTATATACAAGTTAGTAAAACATCAGCTTTTATTTTAGATCCTAGTCTGGGCTTTAAAAATGATTGCTATGCACTCAGAACAAACTGATTATACTACACGAGAGAACATGGAACCTAACACAAAACCATCCTTCCAAAAGATGAGCAAATCGGCATTAACTATTTCATTTAATTATTTAACTTTATGAGTATTATAAATTAAGGTGATGTAATTAATGTAAACATGGTCACAAGAGTAGAACTTAATTTTCATGTCTGCTTCAAATCCCCCCCTCACACTCCCATAACACTTGTACTTTTGATATAAAATGATTTCATGTTTAATTTTTCAGAATTTAATTCTGTTTACAACACAAACATCATAACTTGGTAAAAATACTGAACGTGGCTTAGAAAAGCTCACCTGTTTCTTAAAAAGAGAGTGAGAAGGAGATAACTGACCTCGACAGAAATTTGAGAAATGTCAAAACAGATGTGAAAGTAATTCTACACAATAAAAGTAAGGTAAAAGACAGAAGAGGAAGAATTGGGGTGGCCCTGACTTCCAAGAAAGGGAACTGAGGAAAATGAGGAAAAGGAGAATCACATTATAATTTGGCATTGTCTTCGATCAGCAGGGGAAGTCATTAAAACAAGTGCAAAGCAAAGCCCTCATCTAGGTCTGTACTGCTTTTAACACTCTTAGGGAGTACAGGGCTGGCAGTGGGACCTTCTCCTCACTGGCAGACCTCTCTGGACATTTATTCAAACATCAGTCAAAATCTTTTATTTCAGAGCCCATTCTGATCTTTAAAAAGGTTGCCATGTGCTGAGAATAAATTTATTATTTAAATTAATGGGGTGCCTACCATGAAGCCATAAGACTGATAAAAGAGCAAATCAGTATTTTTAACCATTTAATAGTTTAAAAATTGTGTTACAAATCAAGGCAAATACTTCATTTGCAGGTAAGAATTTGAGCCAAAGCAACAATCACTAGAGGGGATCATCTCAATTTTTATGTTTGCTATAAATCCCACAGTCTTTATTCATGCATTCAGCAAGGCTTTATTGAATGATCAACAGGGTCTACTATGTGGTGGACATACAAAGACCAGTGAGAATCAGGCCTGTCTTCACAGAGCCTGCAGTTTCTCGGGGACAAGAGGAACAGCTGGCTAATAAGTAAACCACCTGGCTAAGTGCTTTGATGGAAATATGCACAGGAAGAGGAGAGGGTCCTGAGGAGGAGTCGCTGGACCAGGCCAGCAGTGAGGGGCGGCTTCCTGAAGGTGGCCCCAGGATGTGCCTGGTCCTGAAGGATGTGCCCTGTGAAGAGGGTGAGCCATGTGGAGGGTGCAGAGATATGGACGTGAACCCAAGGGTGCCCGCTCTAGGGGAATGCCAATGGCTAGAATCCAGAGGCTGGGGTGCTGTTAGTGAGGTAGGGCTGGGATGAGCCTGGAGGGTAGATGCCAGGCTTGGTTTGGTGTGTGGAAGGTTCACCCTGATCCTTATAGAGTGTTTCTCTGTGTCGTTTGTTAACCAAGAAACCTAGAGCTAATGCTTTACAACTCAACAACAATGTGTTTCATTAATTCTGAGTTTTTATAGAGTGTAATCCTCAGTTTACAAATACCCACAAGTTGTGTTATGCAGGGATTCTCAACCTTGGCACATCTGACATTCTGAGCCAGATAATTCTGTGCTGTGGGAGACTGTTTTACACTGTGACATTTTTAGTAGCACCTCTGGCCTCTATCCCCTAGACACTAGTGGCACCATCTACTTATGACAAATAAAAATATCTACAGACATTGCCAAATGCCCCTTGGGGAGCAAATGGCCCCCAGGTGAGAAATACTGCATTGTAAGAGTTCATATAAGTTACACTTTCAGTGATAGTCCCTCTGGCCCTTGAGCATGAAGCATGTATTTTGGGTTATGCTTCCAGGCATGGTGATGTATTTGAATTCACCCACCCATACTCCTGTCTGTTCTCCTTTGGACTCACAGCCTCTTGGGTGAAGGGCTCAGAAAACAGTTGGTGACAATCACACACAGAACAACATTAGCAGCCTGTTGGGGATGGGGCTGGGGCACTGGCTGCTGAGACTGACTATACGCTCAGCACCCAGGAGCGCCCAGCATCCTCCTCCTCTCACCTCGGTTACAGCTTGGATGGACGCACCGTGTTTCAGAAGGAGCTCCATTACTTTAATTCGATTCTTCTTGCAGGCAATATGCAGGGGGGTAAAGCCATTCTGAAAAGGACAGAGACACATATCTACATGACTACATTCCACTGAAATCCAATTCCACTGTGCAGTAAAATATTTTTGCTAAAGTGATGTTCTGTAAAGATTTGGGGATGAGCAGAAACAATGAGAGGTTAAGCAGAATGTAGATTCTTTTCTGGAAGGATAGTAGTCTGGCTGCTCTTAGCAACCCAAGGTACCCTGGTAATTGAACAGGAAGTGAATTTTTGTCACTATCTCCTGGTAGCTAAGGCAAAATGGTTATACATTTCCTCAGGTTATTTTATTTTGGAATTCATATGTCTGTCCTTCTACCTCATTCCAAACACAGACTAAAAACATCTGTACCCAAGTATCTGTCCTCACAGCCAAAACTTCACTAATATCCATTCTGACTTCTCGGCAGCATTTTAGGGCAACTACAAGATCAGGTCTAGAATGTTTTGATTGCTTCCAGCTTTAAGATGCAAGTAGGTGCTTACTCCAAGGAAGCAGAAAGTAAAAAACCCAATGTTATTTGGACCATTTAGTTTAATATTTAATTTATTAAAAGAACCTGCTTTTCAACAAATTATCTGCTGACTTGTGCTGCCTGATAATTGAGACCACAGAGCACATTTCAGTTGCCATACTGAACTATATTCAGGTCCACTACAAAAGCTCAGGTTGAACACATGGATGTTCTCAGACAAGTCACCTGGCCATAGTCCATTCCATCATGGGCTGGCTACAAACTCCGTGTGTTGTGAAATCTTCAGAGTCAGTGGAAAATGAGAGTGAGAGCCCACACCGTTTTAAGGCTTTTTTTTTTCTTGTATGGAAAAATGAGTCATGATCGCTAATTTCTTTTCCTCTTTGCTCAGAATTCAAAGAAATGTTTGATACACAAGGCAGATCAACACTCCATGAAATGCTGCTCTGGTAAAAGCCCTTAGAACCACAGTGGCAGCACAGCTGCAGGGGTCCAGAGCTCCTCCCTCCTCTTCCCTGCCCTCTCGCCGTCCCCTGCCCTCCTGCCCTCGGAGCGCCAGGGCGTCTGTGGGTCTGTTCCGTTCCAACACGGCAAGCGCGCCGGCTGCGTGGGAGCAGAGACCCTTCCTAAAACGGCTCCTCAGACGACAGACTGTACCACAAAATTGCCAGTAAACTCACATGCTTTCCCTCACATTTGGTGACTTATTTTTTTCCTAACCCTGAGTGTTTATTCTGAACCAAATTTAAACAGCTTACTAAATTGGAACCATCTATTTTTTGGAAGGCAACAAACACCATCTTGTTAAGAAAACCAAACTATATATAATATAGCTAAAGGGTTAAAATAGCAAATTGTTGTAGGAGTAAAGACTACACTGACATCAAAATTTTGTTTCGAACCAGTAGGAAAAGGATATGACAGGCAATATTTCATTACCTGACATGGTTAACATAAAATTTCAGTTCACAAATTCCTAGACCTCTCATATTTAATTAAGATAAAGTTTTTTGATCCTTTTGCCTCATGCTTTTAGAACTCGGAAAAAACTTTTACTTCACAAAACTATAACTTTATCTATGATAAGATAAGGCTGACCACCTCAGTCTTTTTAGACTTGCATAATCCTTGGGTTTCACTTATACAAGAAAATTAGTGACATGGCCATAAAGAGGTTAATGATTTAGCTGCATCAACCTTGTTCATGTCAGAAATAATTTCTCAGAGGGATATTTAAGAAAGTTGGCGAAATTCACTTTGCTTAACTAGAACTTCCATTTTTGCCTCCTCTAAAGTAATCCCTTCCTGTGCAGAAGTAGTAGGCTGTCAGCAAGATGACACAGGCTGGCTTTGCCAGCTCAGCCACTCACCAGGGCTTTGGCATTGGGGTTAGCTTTCTTGTCCAAGAGCACCTTGGCGACTTTGTAATGGCCACAGTGGGCAGCCACGTGTAGGGCAGTCAGGTAGTCGTTGGTGACGTCGTCCACGGGCACGTTATGCTGGAGGAGAAGCTGGACACAGTTTAAGTGATCCCCTTGTGTGGCCATGTGCAATGGAGACAGTCCATTCTGTAACGCATCAGAAAATCAAAATTTATTGTTTTACCTTTTAAACGCAAATGTGCCAAACTCAAAATACAGCACAGATATGAACAGATGAAAACTCTGATTTTTCATACGGAAATACCCTCTTTTTTAAAGGTTCTGACAATGTGTTTTGAACTTCAGCTACTTTTAAAACCAGTCCTTCCACTCCTTATAGCAATCAAAAACCAATTTGCAAAATAATTCTTTTTTTAATTCAAAAATAGTGTGAGTTGCATTAAGGTCCATTATTTACTGCATTCTCAGTGAATTGGAATTCTTAATATTTAAGTCTGAAAAGGATAATAATAAAGGCAAGAACAGACTGGTATTCATTAGGTTGTTTTTTTTATTTGTCCTTCTGTATTACTAATACTTGATATTGAATTCTGTATTGACTCAATTAAAAAAGTAAAGGTCTGAATACAACACATTTCATTTTACATCAGTGTGGAACAAAAACTTTTCCTTGTCCACCAATCTGGTGCCCCCTTGTGTCTAAAATGAGGGAAGCTGAGGCTTTGACCAACTCAACTAAAAGCTTGCCTCAGTTAGTTTAAATCAACTGGGCTCAGTGACATGGTTAATCACATGCAAAACAAATGAGTTAAAAGTTCATTTAGACAACTGAGAGAAGATATGAATGGGGTCAAAGGAAAATAAAACTTTTAAAAGGTTAGAGTGACATTTAGCATTCAGTGTATGTTTCCTAATGAAGGCAAGAACAAGCCTTTAAGGATGTTAGTCTATTCAAGCATGCTCCTTTAAATATGGAGGCAAGGGGGAGGATCCTGGGAAATTCCTAGAGAATCCAATTATCCAAAAAGGCTCTTTTAATTACCCTAACATATTTTGGGAGAAAAAAGTGACAGCAAATTCAGTTTCCAAAAAAGCTATCATCAGTGAACTTTGGAAATAATGATATATTAAATATGCACTGAGGATCTAGGTGTTTCTGAGTCTTCCGAGCCAACATCTTTCCCATAATTAACCTATGAATGACTTAAACCTGATTTCAAGATAAGAAGAATCATGCAAGCCTTCCTTTCGTGACTCTTATGGCCTCATTCATTCACTGTCATATGTTTCGATTATCTGTGTTCCTTGAGAGCAAGAGGTTCATGGGTTATAATTTACCCATGCTGCCAGAGAGCCTTGCATGTAGAGAAAGATATCAATAAATATTTATGTAAATTTAAAGACTTCATACACTGTCAGGATATTTCTGCCTAGAAAATTCTGCTCAAACGTTCTGAACCGAAGTAAAAACTAAAGTGCAACAAAGGATGGGAACATTTCTCATCTGAGATACTGCCACCCACCAGCATATGTACTATTTTATTTCCTGCCAAGACATCCCTTTGCTTTATGTTTTGATAGTCCTAGAGGAAAACACAAAGTAAACAAGGAAACAATATGAAAGGACAAATGACTTAGTAGAAATGGAGGCAGTGTCAACAAAAGAAGGAGCTTCCCTAAGGACACACACAACAACCAATCTATGAGTGGGTAACTGTTAGGTCCCTGGGAAGGGATAGGAAGAGAGTGATGCTCATCTGCCCTGTAGAGAGGGGTCGTGTTCATATGGCATCCATCAAGCTAAAAATATGGACCAAGGTGATGGGTTTTCTTGGCTCAGAAGAATGAGAGACTTGAAGACTTAGATGGTCTTAAAGTTAGAAATGTATTTGTTCGCTTAGTATTCATTCAACAAATATTCAATGAAGGTCTACTATATGCCAGCTACCACCGCTTTAGGTGCTGGGGGAACTGTACTAAATAAGGCAAAATTCTTTTTTTTTTTTTACTGAAGAGAGAGATAGCAAACAGGTACATAAACCAAGGAGAAGGCCTCTCTGAGAGGAAGACATTTGAGTTGAGAAATATACAGAGACTGTGAAGATCTAGGGCAAGCTGAGGGAACACAATCTGAGGGGATAGGAAATGAGAACAAACAGCATATTTGAGAAAGTGAAAGAAAGCTGGTTGGCTGGAAGACAGGAAGGAGAAGAATGAGAGCAGATGAGGCAGGGAGGCAGTCCAATCCTGGTAAGGAATTTCTTCTCAGTGCAGGGGGAAATTCCAGATAAACATGGTGGATGTGACGTGTATGCGTTTCCATCCTTTCCCAAACCACTCTAAAGCTGAAGGAATTTAACGGGTAAGGTCCACGAGGGCACACACCTGTGTGCATGTACACCCACACACCCACATGGGGAAAAAATTAAACAAAAACAGATGCGTGATGTCTGCAAATTTTAGGAAATGAAAAGAGGATTTAAGTGCATTTACTCATCTAGCAGAAGAAAAAAGGCTGAGACTTAGTATCTCTGGAGGGATATAATCAGTGGAGTGCTGGTAAATGTTGAACAACAGCTTTTGGGAACGAAAACCTCGGAGATGTAGCTTTTGTCAGTTTTCATGGTGTAAAGATGCCTACTATGACTAATTCCAAGCTATCAATATGAAGTTACTGAATATGAAATTGGGAAGACAGGCTCCACAATAAGCTCACCAATCTAGGTCCAGCATACTGCTGGGGGTACTAAAGACAACTGGTTTACTGCTCAAATGCCCAAGAGGTCAGGGCTATGGAAACAGTACTTTGGAAGATAAAGATGAGGTTTGGGGTTGAAAACAGGATTGGTCACCTGCAATATGGAGCTGTCAGGTTTCCAGGCCCGCTGACCCAGCAAAGCCAGGTGACTGCTCCTTCATACCTTGCAGGAAACCAGTTTAGCCTCTGGAGAAAGTGAACCAGAGAAATTCTGGATGCAGGTAGTCAGGGCAGAGCAGAGGGCATTGGTGAGGCTCTGGACCGAGAACAGGTGCTCACGGAAAAAGGGAGGGCATTTTAAGTGCCAAGAGTATGGTCTCTAGACTTAGGCTGCCTAGGTTTAAATCCTTGTTCTGCAACTAGTGGACATATCTTGAGAAAGTTACTTTCTCTCTTTGGGTCTTAGTTTCCTCATCTATAAATGTGTATAATAGTAATACTAGTACCTCATAGAGTTATTCTAAGTAGTAAATGGATGAATATATGAAAAGTGCTTAGAACTTGGTATGTGGGTAATCACTATGTAAATATTAGTTAACATACTTCTGATTAAAGTATGCATAGAAGACAGGGAGACTGATAGCCTCATTTCCTTTTTCTTAACCCTAAATATATTCACACACATGTACACTGCAAAATACTGGAGAATTCCTTGCTAAAAAACCTGAACTTTCCAGAGACATCAGAGGACTCCTCTGACCTGTCACCTGACATATGAGTGGAGCCCACCTACACAGCTATAGAGCTTCCACTCAAATGTTAGTGCCTGATACCTATGGTCAGATATAGACATTGCTGGGAGACCTCCAATATGAAAGAGAGAGACAAACCCAACAAAGAGAAAAAAGGAACTCTGAGGAATTAGGGACAGATGAGACGCAGAATAAAATTAAAGAAAAGGTATCTCGAATGTTCTCAGAAAGGCAATAGGATCTATTGTATCCATAAAACAAGAATTGCATGTTTTAAGAAAAGAAGCTATCAAAGAACAAGAGACTGTTCTTGCATATTAAAAGCGCAGAAGAAAAAAAAACCAATATTTCTTAGGAAAAAACATAATAATGAAATGAACAATAGGAGATAAGGATGGGAAAACAACCTGACTTCTAAGTGTGCCTGTACTTTTTGGATATAATGAAAATTAATTTTCAAGAGAACAATGGGAATTCATTGGTGGATGTTTAGGAAGGAGGCTGACATGATTTGGTTGACAATTATATGGCCACTCTGACTGCAAAATGGATTGGAACTGGATTGGAAAGGAGCCAGGGGGAGTGGAGGACCAGTAAGGAAGCTCTGACAGTGGTTCGGGAGAGATGAGGTGGCTCAGGAGGTGGCAGTGGGGTGGGAAGAAGATAGCTATAGACTGTGTGAAAGTGAAAAAGAGCAAATAGAGTGGTTTAGATGAGAAGTACTCAAAAGGCCAGATGTCACCACATACAATGAAAAACTGTGGCTGTTCAATTTTGTTGGGTAACACCTCCCATGGCTCGATCTGAACCCTGCATTTCAAATGAGGGATGGAATTGTTCAGAGCGGCTCAGTTCTATCCAGCTTCGGTAGGGCTGTTGGGTCAACGGCGACCTGAGTGCAGCAGGAGTAACATGTGCTTCTATTGTATTGATCATGTCTAGGAAGTAAAGCTCTTTATAGAGCTTAATACAGCTTCCAAACATCATGGGTTTGATTAATAAAAACAGTAGTGACTCTGAGGCAGTTCATATGTCCCAAGATGTATACAAGTATTCTCTTTCAAATAGTGTCAAATGGTTTTACCATTAAAAAACTTAGCAGAACATTAATTTTTTCAGGCAACCATCATATGTTCCTTTCAGAGTATGTCAACTTCCCCAAAGGGCCAAACAAAGTGTAATCTTTCCAGTTTCTAGTTGTATCAGTTAAATTATATTGTTGACCTCTTTGCCAATCTGTGAACTCTCAAGAAATAAAATGAGGAATGGAGAAAGACTATAGCACCCACACTTGAGAGACTATAAATCTTGGAGGCTTTCCTTCAATGATAAGCAATCATTTCTGAGCTGTGAAAATATCAGAGAGTAAAATCAAGCAGTAAGTGTTCCTGTAACAAACAAAAACAACCTAAGAAATGACTTGTGGTAGAGTCCATTCCATCTAAAGCCTTCATAAAGCCAAACTTATCTTGAGGGTCTCCAATGCTTTGGTGAAGCAGCCACTCTAATTGCTAAATTGAGACTCTGTCATTTTTCTACATAATTCAAAAGGCTAGGCTAAATAATCAGCACAGGGATGCAAAGCTAAATCCTGTCAATGTCCAAAAACTTGGAAAGAAATTACCTTGGTTTTTGAAAGAATGGGGGCAGCGCGATCGAGCAGCATTTCCACCACCTGCTCGTGGCCACTCCTTGCTCCACAGTGCAGCGGCGTCAGGCCGTCCTGTTGGACAAAGACATCCTTCAATTAGAGACGCTGGGAAATTCTGTAAGTGTAGTGTCCAGCCTTCTGTGGGCCAGTGAATTTCAAACATCTGCTCACTTATCTCATAAAATAATTTCATATTTTCAACTAAAATTTTAATAATTTTTGTAAGTAATTGTAAGTTTCTATGTTATTAGAAAACTGACATTTAAAAATATAACTGTTCCATGACTCTTTTGACTATCCCATGGAATCTAAATGCTATAAGTAATTTGGCATCCACCATAAAAAATAACACAAACTTAAAATAGGAAAATATGTAATAGGCGTTCCACACTGGTGCTTTTTCCTTCTGCATTTTTATTTCCATTCCACTTTACCCACATCATTTCATTTTAATGTCATGTAATTTTACTTGGGTGTTTTTCATTGATTACTGTATATTTCTCTGCTATGAAAATATATAAATTCAAATTTAAAAAAGGTTTAAGGATTTCCTAAGAACATAAGACTTCAAATATCAAGAATATATCACCTAATTGGAGTTATCATTATAATTATTCAAACATGATCAAAACAAAAATACAGATTTTATGATTAAATAAGAATTTATAAAGAATTCCTCTTCTAATGAGATGTATTTTTTCACAACCAGTTC